AATGAAGCAGGATGGAGAAGGAGGAGACCTAAGGAAGCCACATAGAGCAGCAAGCATGTGATGAAGAAACCGGGCTTGTTTCCTGACCCTGGACTGGCTAAGGCAGATGTGGGCGAGATACCTGTAGGGAGGTGACTATGGCAGTGTTTATATTGATTTTGATTTTGCTCTTTTGTTCTCAGATTTGTCTGGCCATTTCTGACCCTTTTCCATGGGTCCCGGCCAGAAGGTGCTTTAGTCTTGTGGCGGGCTTTCAGGCCTTGCTTTGGGCCAATCCCTTTTGGGTTGACTTTTGCCCACGAGGGGATGGGTCACTTCAGGTGTTTGATTTAGAAGTTATATTCTTTGTGTTCCGTATTGTACATTTACTGTATTAAAGTCCCTTTTTATTGAAGTTTTATATGTTTTGTCTTGTTGCGGCGGATGGCAGAACCCACTTAGAGCAGGCAGGATTTTGGGGCTTCAGGGGTGTCCCTCTCTCCCTGTCCTCTAACAGAATTGGGGTGCCCTATAACAAAAATACCACAGAAAAATGAATCAGTTCACTGCATTAACAGAAGCAGGTCGGGAAGCAAGTGGAATTTCTATATGGCAAATATATGCAAATATACATAAAACGTGAAATATTAGAAGCATAAAGTCTGGAAAAACACACAGAGATATGCTAGCACAAACCTGGATATAAATGTATAGCAGGACACAGCCATGTACAAGAATAACAAAATAAGAAGTATCAACAAAGAGACTGAACATAGTAACAATAATCTTATCATTAAAATATGCAAATAGGCAACCATAATATTCAATGCATAAGGAACATCAAAAGCTACTATATAGAAAGTTATTGTATCAACTCAGATGCCCTGTCACACAAAAGCAATAATTAATTAGAACACATAATGGAAAATACAGCATTCACAACAGCAACGGTATCGAAAATGTACCTAAAATGAACCCTTACAAAACTGTACAAGATCTTTATGGAGGCAACTAAAACATTTACTGATAAAGTTAGAGAAATATAAGTCCCATATAGAGCAATATAATAAGGTTATTCAGGGAGACGAAATATTATATTATAAAAATGTCAATTCTCCGTAATGTATTCATAGATGCAGTGCTTTATCCACAGCTTTTGAGACAAAAACCAAATTTGGGCTGCTGTTTCCTGGGTCCAAAATCGACCAAGGAAAAACTGAAGAAAGAACATGAGAATCCCCTGAAGGACATTAGTTCTGTACTGAACTAGCACTGGTATGAGGGCATAAGAGCACACTCTCAACTTGAGACAGGTCACGTTGGAGAAAAGGTTTTCAAGCTCAGTCCTTGTTTTTAGCACAAGCTTGACAATGAATTTCTAATGTTTCACCAAAGGATTGTGCCGTAGCACCTCAGAGCCCAGTGCTGGGACCATGGGGTCATATCAGAATGGCACCAAATGCTGTGTTAGTCAAGGCACTTTGTGACCAAAAAGTGTCCTAATAGCCACAGTTCGTGAGGACTGAACTCTTTAAAGGTCGCCTTAATAGAATATAAGACATGAATTAAAATAGAGCACTAAGACACTTGAGATCTACTCTCCTAGCAAATTTCAAGCATATTCAAGAATATTCAGTGACATTACTACCTTTAGTCACTACGCTGTACAGAGTTTCCAGTACTTTCTGCAGCTTAAAAATGAGTTTGTACCCTTTGATAAATAGCCCCCATTTTCCCACCACCTGCAACCTCCTGGTAATCACCATCCTATTTTGTGTTATGATGAGTTCAACGTTCTGTTGTTTTGTTTTTATGATTCAAATCACAAAATAAGGGAGATCATGTAATACTTGGTTTCTGTGTCTGGTTGATTCACTTAGCAAACTGTCCTTCCTAGTCTCATCCATGTTGTTTGTTGCTGAAAGTGACAAGATTTTTCCACTACACACAGAAATGATGATTATGAGAGGGGATAAATATGTGTAATAGTTGGTTATGATCATTTTACAACATATGCAGTACAACACATTTGTGCTGCTTAAATATACACCATTTTACGTGACAAAAAATAAAAACATATAAATACTGTGTTGGATAGAAATATAACCATAATTTCACCTACAAATAGAAATGCTTTCTCCGAACATCTTTGTAAGGGCACAGATGTAAGGACATAGCCTCCCGGTTTTTTCATGGAGTTCTCAAGGATTTCTGAATGAAATTTAAGAAGCGAGGTATTCCCACCCTGCTAGAACTCATTGCAAATTCTACCACAGAACCTGAAATTCAGGGATTTCTCACCTACAGCCATCTCTGGAAATCTCCAGGAAGAGCAAGATAAATTGAATCTGTATTTCATGTTGGTCACAGGAAAATTGTAACTTTGGTGTGAGGGCTAGGAGTAGGGGAGCAGAGGGGATGTAACACAGCACCCACAAAGAGCGGTAAGACACTGAGAATGGATTGAAGGAAAATATACCACAGGAGAGGAGTCACCAAAGTTCTCCACCCACACACAAACACACACGAATCCCCAAGAAAACATTGACAAACACACGCAAACAAAGAGACTGTCAATTTGGGGAGGACCCAAGCAAATAAGCTAGGCTTAGGAGCCCCAAAATTTTGTAGTGGGGTATCTGAGGAAGATGTAGTTCTTATCTCAGACCACAAGACAGAGCTCAGCACACATATACACAATAGGAACTGAGAGTCAGTGAAAAGCCCGGTTGCAGTCCTGCAAGACTGAACCCCAAGAACGCAGCCCCTTCAAAACTAGCTACGCCCCCTCCGCCGCGGGTCATTCTGGGGGTACTGCCCGGAAGTGGCCCTCTCTGACTTCCCGGTAAAGGCGTTGAGGGAGCCGAGGTCCACTGTGACAGCTGCCGGCAGGAGTTACAGAGCAGGAGTCTGCAGACTCGGCAGGTGTGAACACAAGATGTGTCCTCAGCGGGACGGCGGGGTGCCCGGCCCCCCAAACCCCAATCTCTTCCAGCCTCCCAAGGTGGCCGCGAGACCGGGCCCCGATACCGCTCCCCACTCTTGGCCCAGAGACCCCAGTATGGCTGCTCGGCCCAAAGTGGGTTTGCCGCCCAACGGGACAGCGGGAATAAAGGCTTTGGTCCACGGTGGCGGGG